TTATAAACATATATTTGTTGGGGGGTTGGGGGGGGGGGGGGGTTCAATGGCGTTTGTGCCTTTCGGCAAAGTTGAAAAAAAAGAAGTATTGCGAAGCATTTGCATATGTTTGAAAATAATGAGCTTGTACTTCTTATGCCAGGTTTTCAGGAAGCTCACAACACTTTTTAAGTCTCTGGGTGTGAAAGCTATATTTGATACCAGCTGCAGTAGAGACTTGACCCTAATAGAATCTTGTAACGAGTTTATGGTGCGATATAAACAATCCCAATGTACTAGTAGTGGTGAGTCAAAGCCACCTTTACCTATGATTTCTTCCGCATGTCCAGGTAATGGCTTAATTTGCTTTGGTATTTTTCTTAATTTCTTACTTGGTGTTCTATGAATGTTCTAACTCTACTGGTGTTGGTGTTGAAATTGTAGGTTGGATATGTTATGCTGAGAAGACCCTTGGTTCTTACATTCTTCCATACATTTCTTCAGTCAAGAGCCCCCAACAAACTATTGGTGCAGTCGTCAAGAATTTTATATGGCCAAAGCTAAGTGTAAGGTAGCTTATTGCCATCTCATCTTTTTAAGCATTATGCATTAGCTGTAAACTGTAATCTTCCATTTCTTTTGTTGTTGGACTGTCCCAAGCATTATGCATAAGTCGTTTTATTGCAAATATGCGCTAAGCAATAACGTTATCTTTCTGTTGTGTTTCCCCATCCATTTTATGCATCCTACTAGAAAAAATAAAATTACAGAGCAAATTCATGCTGGCCGTTTGATATTTCAGCATATGTGATGTTGCATGTTAGTTGGTGAAAAGTTAAAAGGTTTTATAATGTTCCTAAAATTAAGCTGTTAGTTTTTGGACCTGGTCACAGTCGATTGGTGCTTGATAGAGCTTTTTTATAACAGACCAGAAGATATATACCATGTGACTGTAATGCCATGTTATGACAAGAAGCTCGAGGCTGCTCGTGAGGATTTTGTGTTTCAAGTGGATACAGATAGTGAAAAAATTACAGAGGTTGATTCAGTTTTGACAACAGGAGAGGTTTTGGATTTGATACAGGTAAGAGAGTTCTCTGCTTCTCAGTATTCCATTCCCGCAGAGCAATAATGTGAGATAGCTTGCATTTGGAATATTTGCAATTTTTCTCATTTTCTCTCTGTTGTTTACTTATAGTCAATCTCTCTCCTCTTTGATGTAGTTAAAAGCAGTTGATTTTCAATCCTTGGAAGAGTCCCCCCTAGATAAATTGTAAGCACTTTTATACACCTTGCATTGATATTCTCATTTCTTGATGCAAATCCTTACATTTGATTGCTTATATGTACTTTAAAGGTTCACAAATATTGATGAGGAGGGCCATCTTTATGGCGTTCATGGAAGCTCTGGAGGATATGCAGAGACCATTTATCGTCATGTTGCAAAAGTGCTTTTAGATCAAGAAGTTGAAGGCCCTTTAGCATTCAAGACTATAAGGAATTCTGATTTCCAAGAAGTGAGCCTAGAAGTAAGTTTGCTTCTGCATTCTCCTAGAAGCATGATTTTATAGAATGTTGTTAATATGCCCCTATAATGTTCTATAATCCAAGTACCTGTATGCTGACACTGCGATATCTTCTTGTGCGTGGACAATTGTATCTATAATTTAAGGGTTTCTATCTGTTAACAAGGGTATGATATGGTGTTTGGTCAATTGTGGAGCTGCTAATTTGATGGCTCATGTCAAAGTTTATTGTACTTGGTGGTGGATGGTGTAGCCCAATCAAGTCCTAAATAGGCTAAGCACTTGAAAATGCAAATATAATTGGATGAGAGTCAGTCGAATCCCACAAGGAGTAAATATGAGGTGTTTGGTTGATTACTTGTAGTTAGAAAGATCTTCGATTGGACTTGCAACATTTGTTTGGGTTTTGAATTTAACTAAAAATAGCAATAGAATTAAAAGCAAACAAATAACTAACGAGAGTGTAAATCAAGTGATAAAAGGTACTAGGATTATAGCCCCTAGTTGATTTGCTTTAGCTAATGGGAAATACTTATCTTGTCTAATTGCTTGGCTTATTGATTATGATTCAATTATAATTTACCCATTAAAATCTCATAATAGTAATGCTAACTTTCTCAAAGAATCTCATAATAGTAATGGCCCTACCCCAATTAAGTCCACCAGAACCTAATGGAATGCTTAAAGTTCTAATGGTTGAACACCCAAGTTAGAGTCTAGCTATTTCTAGCTTGATTCTGTTAACTGAGTTATATAATCCCTTATAAAACCCAATTCCTTGCTTATTAATTCTTAGCTAGTCCTAACTCCACCTTCTCAAGTCAGAACTATGATAATTAGGTCTTAATCTCATGTTGAACACCACTAAGTTGCCTAGTAAGCCATGGAATCGATTAGATAATCATAACTCAAGCAATTAATGACGAACAGTTAATAACCCATTAACTTGCAAACCATTTGGGTCTACGACCATAGCTGAGTCTGTAGCTACTCATGCTAGAAATGAATGAAAAGGCAACTAACAGACAATGAATGAGTCAAACTCGGGTTGAAATCTTCAAAAGCTGCTCGAGTCCTTGCTAAAAATAGTAGAAAAACCCCTCTTGAAAGAAGAAAAATAAATGCAACGGTCCAAAACTGAAAGTGAAAACGGTGTTTTGGAGTTGTATTTAGAATTTAAATGGTCAGATGCTGATTTTCAAATAAAGTGAAAAGATTTCCTGAAAAATGAATAATTCTCATGCCAAACAGATCCTAAGTTTGTAGCAATTGGCACAAAAGAGTATTAGGCCATTGACAACTACTGACAAGATGTCTATTGCATTGAACACAGGTGAATGATAAATCTGTCCTGAAATTTGCATTATGTTATGGTTTCCGGAACCTGCAGAATGTTGTTAGGAAATTGAAAATGGGGAAGTGTGACTACCATTTCTTGGAGATCATGGCATGCCCTTCAGGTTGACATGCTGGATCTTTCTATTTGTGAATAATAGCTCCGAGCCTTCTTGCATCAATTAACAGTTTGTATGTCTTTAATTGCCTCCCTCATGATTATAGGATGCTTAAATGGCGGCGGACAAATAAAGCCACAACCTGGGCAGTCGGGGAAAGAGTTGATTCAGCTGTTGGAGACAGCTTATGTAGAAAATGTAAGTCACATGTTTGATAGAGTTTGTCATAATATAACCATCTTGGACTGTAGGAATTTCCTCTCCAACTTGAAGGCTTTGCGTATAATTTGTGGCATGTCTGGGAAATGTACAATGTATAACTTGAATTGCAGAGCTTGGGAGATTCATCTCTGACTACTGTAGTAGTCAAAGATGAACATGTTGAAATGGAAGTTCACTTTTGTTCTGATTTGTTTGAGTGTCTCCCCAACTGGGGCTTTAATATGTCATAAAAACCTGCTTGTTTTGGCTTCTATTTTTCCTCTGCATTACGAGATGATGAAGTTTTTGAACATTCATCTCTGAAGCAGATTCAAATGAACGAAAATGGTCTACTCTTTAGAAGTTGCAAAGCCATGCATGATTGATGTGGGAACTCTTTGTTTTCCTTGCACTTCAACTTTCTGATCTTATGAATCTGAATTGCCTCCCGAATGCTCTTTTGTTAATGTTTCAGGTTGTGGTTGCTGATCCTTTCAACAATCCCATCACAAAGGGCCTATACAGTGAGTGGCTTGAACAGCCTGGTTCAGAGAAAGCAAAGAGGTACCTGCATACTGAATATCATCCTGTAGTGAAAAGTATCACTTCACAGTTGCAGAACTGGTGAGATGCAAAATATCAGCTTTTAACTGATTGGCCAAGTTCCAACTGTTCCCTTCTGGTGTTTTTCTGCAAGAGCTTCCCAAGTGGGTTTTGATACTACACTGAATTGTTCACAATCTATGTTCATGAGTCTATGCACCACAATTTTGGTAGTGAAAGTGTTCACCCCATCCTGTAAATATTTTGTCTTGCAAATTACACAAAAGTCTAGGTTGCAAAACATTGTTCCCCATCTGGATTGGAGTATTAGTGCTGTACGTTTCATATCCCACAACCCCTGATCTTTATTTATTTGGCCACTTAGTTTGTATTTGTTAGAAACTTTTTTTTATGCCAATAGTAAATATCACCAGAATCCTAGCGTAATCTTATCTGATTTCATAGACTGCCTTTCCTTGCTCTACCGTGTAATGTTGCATCTCCAATACTGGGTAAAAAAAAAGGCTCTTGTTCATTGCTAATAATATTACTAAATTACGCTAAGACTTCATTGGATTGTCAATGATTTTTTAAAAAAGAATCGACGCACTTCCATTAGTGATTTCATCTGTTATTTTTTCACGTAAAAATGCTTAGAAACTATACAAAAGAATTTTTTAAAATAAGAAAATTAACATTCGTCCGCAATTTTATTCTGCTTCACGAAAACTAAATGGTACATTAACAATTGAATTGATAGGTTAATATGGAATTGAGATGGGAGTGTCAAAATGAATATATGGGAGAAGAGGGGTTTTGGCCTTTTTTTGGGGGGTTTGGATTCAAATGATATTTGTGAATAAAGAACTTCGGAAATTAGATTGGCAACGGTTGAAACTGGTTTGAACAGATTCGAGCAACTGGAAAATTTACAAAGATAACCTAGTTGACCCTTGATTTTGTGTATAATAGTGTGGATACATTATTTATACACTTTTTATACATGATTACACAAAACAGATACATCATTTATGCAACGTATATATAGTGCGTAGAAGGTTGTATATGTAGTGTATAATGTGTGTGCGCGCGCTATATATATATTACATGGTTATACGTGATGTTATATAGATTTAAAAAATGGATGGTGAAAAAATAAAGAGAGTTCTCCATTAGATTGGGGGGAGAATGCAAAGAAGTAACATTGAAAATTCAATGCAAAACATATATTAACTTGGTCCAGATATAAATAATTATAGGGCTATGCAAGGTGTAAACTGTTTATTTGAATTGTAAATTGCATAAGAATCCCAATTTGTATCCCTTTTGACAACAACAAAACAGCAGATAAAAGAAAAGCAAGAACTCTCCAAGAAAAGGAGGAACTGCTTACATACAACAATAGACGACTTGTAAGGCAACAATAGCAAAACATAATGGCTAAAATATAATGTACAACATCAAATGTTTCCAGGTTCTGTGTCATTCTGTATATCCAATTCCTTGACTTCAACAACAGGATTGTCATGGTTTAAATGCGGAGCAACCAATAAAACCTTCTGTCTCTTATCAGCAGTTGCAGCATTTGGAGAAGTCGTGCTCTCTCCTTCAGGCAGAGATGTTGACAATGCATCCATTGTGCCCCCCATTTTGGAGAAAGAAGCTCTTGCCTTCTCAGTTCCTGGCAAACTGGGAGGGGTACCTTTTTGTGATCTGTCGGTCTCAGAATATGATGCATTGCCCAAAGTTGATAATGGGGAACCATCTGGTTCAGAGCTTTTACTCATGCCATCTTTTCCTCCACCTACAATAGAGTTAAGAATCAACATGGAGAGGACAAAAAAATGCATCCACTACTAACGTTGACAAAAATAATGAAACTAGTTGATCACCTGTATTGGAAGCTGTGGCAGGAGATGCATTTGCACTTCCTTTTTTTATCCTTGACTGCAAGGAAAGCAGCATTCAAGTTCATCAGTTGTAGAGAAATGATCATATCTATATTGTCTTTTTTTTCCCCTTAACCTTCTTCTACATGCTCTTAATAGCCAAAGAAAAAGCATCCTGAACTAGTATGATAGGCTAAAAGAAAAATAGAATTATGTTGCATGGACTCAATAAGGATGGATGTAATACCTTGGAGTTTTCTTCACAGTACTTAATAGAAGCTGAAACACTTGTGCAGTGGCCATGCAGAAGTGTGTAGGCCCACAAAATTAGCTTCCGTGAAGTGTTCATATCAAGTATGTCAACCGCGTCTATCCCAGGTTGGATATATGTTTCTGTAGCAAATTGAGATGGCACCATATAAAGGTTTATACCTGATGGGAGCAATGCACAATATGTGTCCTTGTAGAAATTATAGCAAGACCTAAGCAGCATAGAAGCAGTTTCCAGATCTTCATCTGCAGCTCTCTTTACTATTACATTTTTTATTTTAGACAATGACGGGTTCCACTTCCTCTCAAGATCCTTCACATGATTCATGTCTTCAAAAGATGAACACCATAATTCATCCAGTTGGAGATCAATACAAAGCAGTTGTGAGTTCTCTAATCCATTAGCTGGTGAATTTGGACCTTGGACTTCACTGGAGAGTCTTGAGTGCAAAGGCGTTATTAAAGCCATGCTAATTACAAGTGATCGACACCAAGCAGCAGAAACATGCTTATGAACTTTTGCGCAGTTACTACTCGACAGCTTTGGGTTCTTCAAACGCTTGCGTATCTTCTCATTTATTCCTTCAAGTGTTTCAACTTTGATATTTTGCTCTAAAGACTGGATATATCGATAAAGATATCTGCAAGGAATGTCAGATTTGTATAAGCAAACTGCTTTAACTGTAATCAAGCAGTGGACTTCATAGCTTTAACGGATTCAAAACTGTATTCCACAAATGTTCATGGTATCATTTATTTTGTTTAAAGCCCAATCCAACGGTTGGGACTCAGATGAATAAACAATAGATACTTCTGGGATACACTGGAAAATTCATACATTCTCAAAAATGAAAAATATATGAAGTACTTGATCTGAGGACAATATCTTCATAGTTCACGTACTTGTATGAGAATATTGAGCAACCAGCCGACAACGCATATATAAGTGCTAATCCTATTCAGATTGTTATCAAATTACACCTATTTCTTGCAGTTCCTATTTGTGCACCAACACATTTATAGGAGCAAAATAATACAATTTTCTTTTGCTAATCCAAATATAAGGGTATGACGATAAATATCCAAAACAAATCCTTCTATCTAGTGTGTCCTTACATCAAAACACAAATAAAACAAAATATCTCATTTACCATAGTAGAAAAGAAATTATCCTGGCAAGGGTGTGGCCTAGTGGTCAATGAAGTGGTAAAGAACCATGAGGTCTCAGGTTTAATTCTCAGCAGAGGCAAAAAACACTAGGTGATTCTTCCCATCTGTCCTAGCCTTGGTGGACAGAGTTACCTAATACCTATTGCTGGTGGGGAGGTGGTGAGCATCCCATGGAATTAGTCGAGGTGCGCGAAAGCTGGCCCGAACACCACGATCATCAAAAAAGAAAAGAATTTATCTTCAACATAGTTCTTAGATAAAAGAGCAATTAATTCCTTTCCTAATATCATTGTTATTTATCTCCTCTTGGAACTGGTGTAGATCAATATTGAGACTACAAAGGAGGTAGGGAAAAACTCCTTTTCTAATTACAATAGAGACAGAAAACAAGTTTTTTTTTTTTCAATTGCAATGTGAGCAAAGTTGAAGACCACAGTAAAACATCAACTTGGTACAGCACATAAAGTTTGGATTACTTCAAAGGACTTACCCAAATAAACAGCTCTCTGTCAACTCGGAGCTCTTTATTTCTGGCAAGCAACAAATATCAGACCACATGGTGACCTGTTCCATGAACAGAGAGAACATTTTCTCCAGATGATGCTCGCTTGAGTTGCTAGCAGCACAAGATTTACGGTCAGTCTGATGTATAGATGAAATTAATGCCTTTAAGTATCGTCCAAGGGCAACTGGTATGAGATCTTCAAGACACGAGGAGAACTGGATGAAATATATATATATCTATGTTAGACAAGGGAGTTTTGATTAAATAGAAATGGAGATAAACCAAATTTATAAGAGTGGGATGAGTTGATTAAATGTAGAAGTACGGGCAGAGCTTTAGGCTTCATGTCGGTATCCAACAGAACAGGCAACAACGAGAGAATTGAAGAATTGAGGGTCTAATTTGAATATCATAACAATATGAAGTTTAAACTGATGATATGTAACATAGAATAAATGTTCTTCCAAGCACTTTTCATGTTTTTCCTGCATTATGTTCCATGGCATTATAAATGGTACGACAACTTTTTTTGATAAAGAGAAATGGTAAGACAACCCTCTTTGCAATAAACTGTAATTCCAACTTGTAGAGCTCTAAGATATGGCATGAGAAATGCTTTCCTATAAATAATAAAACTGCGCATTTTTATCACAAAATTTAGCCATTAGAAATGCTTTCTTATAAATAAAATAAAGTAGTGAATTTTCAAAATCACCCTCAAAGAGGCTTATTAATAATAAAAATAAATGCAACCTCAGAAAGGGTCAATGCAATAAGGAGAAGTGTACAAAGAAGAATATGTTATTTTCATTAGGCTAATCATTGATGCTGCTAGTCATTGTGAACAATGTATGCAGCCAATTCATATGGAAGTACGTACCCTCTTATCTGTCCTAAGACAGAAATAAGCCCGATCAAGGGTGCAAATGTCTCCTGTCTCCTCCAGCAGTTTTAAATAGAATAATATGTACTTGCGGATGCAAGTAATGAACTTCCGAGAACTTTCTGCCAAGTTAACTTCTAGGGCTCTCTTGTTCCCTGAGCAACCTTGGGTTCTGCGCCTGCAATGTGAAGAAAAAAAAATGATCAGCTAATGAGGCAAGAAATGTGGCTCCAATACCTGACCAAGTAATGGACCTGAAAAGAGAATTGTTAAAGAATGACAAAAGTCCCAAATTGGTGATTAATGAGATGGGTGGACTCCTTAAAAGGCTTGGGCAATCCTCCTCCCTTTGAGCTAGCTTTTGGGGTGTGAGTTAGGCCTAAGACCTAATTTAACACACCAATGTGGGACATGGTTCAATGATGGAGCCAGGTTAGAGATGGGTGTTCATCTTGGCGGGTGTGGTTCTAGCCACAACCTTTTTGATAGTAATGAAGATTTTTGTTGGAGAAATTATTTCAGAGGAATTCTCTGTGTCGAGACGTAGATTCGATGGAGGAGATTATGGAGAAGAGATGTAAGATCCTAAAGATTATGTGAAGAAGGTGGACAAATTTATTTTGTCAGATATTCAGGCCAAGGGGGAGATTTGTTGGGTTTTATTTGCCTTGATTTTTTACATTAAATAAGTTTTCCTTTTAGGAAAAGGTTTTAATATTTGACTAG